AAAAGGAAGACGAAAATTAATTAATTATTTCGAGATACCTTTGCCACTTGGCACGTGCCTTTGGAAGAGTATCTAGCGGATCTTTTATCAGATACATACGAATTCCACGTACATACATTCGAAAATAATGATCCCAGTCAATTTCAGTGACATCGAATGCAAAATTTTCACGATCTTCCTTTGTCATTTTACTCAGTAATCCTTTAATATTGTCGTTTGAAAATTTCCATTCCTTGGTAGAGAAATAGTTGAGCACATCCATAAATTTGTGTATCTTTTTATAAATTTTTAACATCCTTTGAGAAAGTAACGGAGAAGAAAATTATTAAACGGAAGGAAATAAAAAAATGATATGGAAAATAGTGCTGAGAGATAAAGCGTGCGTGTGCAATTACCTCGGTTCTTTTCCTAAACAGAGCGTGATGGTGTCGATCAAGAGTGCCGGCAACAAATGTAACAAGTAAACGTACATCAGATGAATTATCTTGTGCTTGTTGTTTCGGAAGCTATAGTACCATATGGCTCTGCTAGTGGGAAACTGAAGCCCGTATTTTTCGGATAAAACTTTCAACTGATCGTACGTTATGGGATTATCTTTCGAAACGTAATTGTAAACGGGTATGTCATTTTCCGTTTCTTCGGCAGATCTGTGCGTAACAAAAAAACAGAAGAAGTAAAGAAACGGACGAACCATGCAGGAAAAAAAAATAGCGAAAGACTAAAAAAAAGAAAGAAAGAAATAAGAAGCAAAAGAATGGAAAAGAGTCGAACGAACGAAAAAATTAAAGTTTCGATCGACGAATCTTACTTTCGGCGATTCGCTATGTCCCAAGCGCAAGCTATCAGAGCATTTACTGTTAAATCGCCAGGAACGACATTGGCTTGTATGGATCCGTCGCAATGAATCGACCGTAAGACACCGGTGCCAGCCCCAGCTGCGACACCCGTTGGTCCGTACAGATTGTCGATCCATCCTCGTACCGGTTCTCGATACGTCGATATCACTGAAAAATCAATGTCACATTCATCTCAATCGAATCCCAAGTGCCATTTTCATTCAACTATCCCCGACTATTTACTCCTACTCTCGACACGTTCTCTCTCTCTCTCTCTCTCTCTCTCGCTTACTTCTTGTACTTTGGAATCTAGTTTGATTGGAATCTAGTCGTACGATTGGATAATGGAAACCGCGCCCACGTGGAATAGGAGCAAGAGAGTGATCGAGCACGTGCGAAATATCGAGTTTCGGGGATGTCGGTAATATCGTAAAGAGCTAGAGGAGGGAACGATACGTTGATAAAGCACATCGATAGACTGGAAGACTCGACTGACCAATGGCAGGACGAAATATTCCAACGGGCAGCTCGCCGGCCTGTTTCACGATGACACTTTCAGCTACTGCTTTCGTGTACGTGTACGTGTTTGGCCATGCACCTAACAATCTAACATATAACATATAACATATAACATAATATATATATATATGTATGTATGTATATATGTGTATATATATATATATATATATATATATATATATA